AAAAACAAACAAACAATCGTTTTATGGACTAAGTGAAGAAATACATCTTAGCCATTTTTACCTTTTCAGTTTTCATAGCATAACAAAAATGTTTATAGTAAACACTTCTTTGTTATATCAAACAATGATTACATTACCAATATATTAATGCATTGTCCAACCATGTAAAATTTTTATTATGTATGTTATGTTTTAGTATTTTAATTCGAGTGTTTTGTATTGTTTATTGGTGATGACGCGTGACGCCTAAAAATCTCCTGAGTGTCTAGATTTACCATGACATCTCAAATTTTCATGAGATTTATGGAAAACGAGTATTGTATTAAAAAAACTCCATAGTTAATTATTCATTTATTGAATCAGAGCTAGTTAATCGATTAGTAAGACAACATGTCAGTCAATGAGTTGATTAGTTAGTTAGTTACTGAATTATCGATTGTTTACTGTGTTAGTCCGCCAGGTTTTCATGTGCCAGAGATACGCAAAAAAAAAATTAATATGTAAATGAATGTTTTTGTGAGTTAGGCCTATAAACGAATATAGCCTGTAGAATTTGTAAGTTCCAGTTAAAAATATTATACCACTTTCATTACCATTAACTGAAATGGACTTTGCATTATTTTTACTGAATATTAAATGCTGTTACAGCTAAATGTATTTGCTGATACACACTCGAATTATGAAAAACAATGTCACATAGAAGAAGCAAGATTGTGTATAAGAATAATTTAGTTTATTTTTCTAAACATTTTGTTAGAATGAAAGAAGTAAAATTCGTATTTAGAAAACAAGTATGAAAGTACGTAAAAGAATAAGAAAACTTTGGAAGACACAGATATCAAACTACAATGCCATTTGGTGTTCACATTACACCTGGGAGATTAGTGGTATTTGTTGATTGATTAATCAAAGATCTCACTAATTAAATATATTCGATTAATTGACCAGTGTAGTGTTCAACAAACCATGGTAGGTACAAGGACAAAAAACCTTGGCAGCAGGTGCTCCAACCAATTGCCTTCCCTCTAGTAAGCACTTCAAAAAGAAAAAAGTTGGTGACGGTTAATATCTAGTAGTGTTACTTCCTTCTAGCCAGCAGTTCAAAAAGATAAAAAGTTGTCAGCCTTCTCTAGAACCAGAAACTTTCGAATAACTAAAGATGAGCAAACTTGAAGTGTAAAAACATTATAAGGCTAAAGTCGGGCAGAGCACAGACAGCTCATTATAATGGCTTTATGCTTAGAATAAATAAATGTAAAAGTGATAAACGGAAACTCTAATTTTGATTAGTTGATTATTTTTGTAACAGTCGGTTGAACATGACCACGGACTTAAAACTGTAGAATGGTTTCTAGATAAGTAGAAAGAGTTAATTCATCCCAGGTTTAATAAAGCTTTTGTCTTATAAGGTTTAGATATAGTCTTGAAAAACTTATACTCATGAGGAACAAATCTTTCGTCAAATCTCTGGTACAGCAATAGGCATTCAAGTTGCTCCAAATATGCTAATATCACTATGGGATTTTTCGAATTACAACTATTTAATATACTACCTAATTATTTTCAATAGGATTTTGAAGTTCACGTAAAAACGTTTCGGAAAAGATTTTTAATGATTGTTTTGTAATATGGAAAATACTCAATATTTTGATAATTTTGTTAGGATTTTACATTCAATAAACAAGGAAATTAAATACACCTTTGAAAGAAATAATAAAGTTTGTTTTTTTTTCTTTTTAGATATGTTGGTAAGTGTTTCATCAGAAAATGAAATTATAACTTTCTTTTTTTTTATAAATCCACAAACTCATTTCACTATGTAATTATTTCTAGTAATTATCCTAAACATATAAAATTAAATGTTACTGTAAATCTAGCAAGTATATTATACCATTTGGTTTCTAGTGAAGAAACGAGAGTTAACTATTATTAGAATTAAAAGCATTCTTAGCTCAGGGTCAATATCCGGAGAAAATTATATTCAAAGGTTTTGAAATTGCTAAGAATAACTTTTTAAATAAAAAAAAACATTTAAACAGAGAGATTAGTAAACCTAAAGAGAATATTTTATCTTTTGTAGTGACTTATTATCCAAATATACATATTGATATTTTATTTGTTACTAATCAGTTAAAAAAAATAGCAGATTAAAGAAAACTGAAAGATAATAAAATTATTCTAACAAGAAGAAAACCTAAAAATGTGTATAGGTTATTGAATAAACCTAATGAAAGAGATTTTTAAAGAAGATATTTTAGTTGTAAAAGTACTGTGCTTGGTGTAATTTAGCTTACATGAAAACTACCAAAACGGTAAAGAACAATAATAAAAAAATTGTTTTTCATTAATAGCTCATTTAATTGCAATTCTAAGAACTAATACATCTTTTAGAGTGTAAATTGAGATGAATTCTATATTGATGAAATAGATGGAATAAGATTAAGGATAAATTTACATAACTTCAACCTTAGGTATCCCCAAAACAGCCCAATATAAGCCAACAGACATATTAATGAATGTATTTGCCCCCCCCCCCCCAGTGGCATAGCAATATCAAAAAGCTAGTTTCCTTTGATCAGTTAATATGAAAACCCAGTGATTAACTTTCTGAATCCGTACTTATGCCCCCCCCCCAGTGGCACAGCGGCATGTCTGCGGACTTACAACGCTTGAATCCGGAGTTCGATACCCGTGCTGGGCAAAGCACAGATAACCCATTGTGTAGTTTTGTGCTTAATTACAAACAAACAATGATTGTACTTTGGATATATCTAAAAGTATAAAAGAACCATATTTTCATGTTTTCCTTTCGTGTGCATGTAATGTAAAACATAAAAGATTATTTTTCGAAAAATATTTCATAAATTATTTTAGAACCAGTTTAAATAGAAGTAGGAGGGCAGAAGTAACAGGTTGTGTAAAGTCAGTACGAAGTGCGAAACCATAAAAGCTATTAGTAAGACTTACAGAAAAGGCAATAAAGTATGATGTATGAATAAATAAATCGCATTTTTATAATAACAAGTGAAAGTATAATTAAAATAAGATCTTAATTTAAAAAGGAAAGTATATTGTATGAACTTTCATTTTATTTCTTTTTGAGCATTTTTAATATACTTAATTTATACATGATGTGCATTATATGTTTGTACATTTGGAAAATGTATCACGTACTTAATTTAGTTTAATTATATTTAGTTGGAAATGGGTATTTGAATGTTTTTTTTATAGATGTCCCGAAAAGTGACCTTTGAAGTGATGAAACTGGTTGAAAAGATTAATAAAGAGGTAAGTGAAAACAAATATTAAACAACCAGCCATTTTATTGAATAAATTACTTTATATTTTATTTGATAGAATTAGAAATCTAAATAGTAATAACAATAAATACACTTTTTTGGCAATAAAAAATAATCACCCCATTTTAGAATAAATAATTGTGAACAAGTGAAAACTATTCAAACATTTAATTTTACCACTATATATATATACGACTATTCCATTGAAAGATTTAATTTCAGCTATGAATTTATTAACACAACAATATTGTAATCTTTCCGTAGTACTTCATGAAAGAAATTATTTATATATAAAGTTTCTGTATTTATAATAATCATATTTTTCATAATTAGGCATTTAAACAAGTAAAAGGAGCTCCATTGTATGGCAAATTTAGATAATTATTTCTATGATGATAAGTTTATTGAGAACATCGTAAGTCTTGAAATTTGTCTTAACATACACATATAGAGGTATAATATATATATATAGTATAAATAGTCCTAAGATAAATAATTTTATCAACACTATTTTAGTAGAATTAGAAAACACTTCAATTTCTGAAGAAGAGGCACATTATTTGTATGTATTAAATTGATTAATCATTATATTAATTTAAATGTTTTTTGATAAAGGAAAATATTTTATTTTCCAATATACGGCCTACTCTCTCCTAATACCAATGTGTCATATTCTTCTGTAATAAGTATTGTAACTTCACAATCGCTCAATTATGCAACATTTGTAATAACTTACAATATATTATTGTTAATATTGAACTATTGATGCAAAAATTAATATTTAATAAATTTAGTAAAGCAAAATTAAATAAAATTACTAAAAACATTTTGTGTTAAATACAAAAATGTATTATATAAATATAATTAAGAATTTATTGCTTCGAATTTACGATAAATGTTTTAATAAGGTCGTTTAAACAGCTTGGCAATATTTTCATGTATGTATGAACACTATTATCACAAATAAATTTAAAGCTCTTATAAAGGGTAGATAAAGTCTGAAAATCGATAGTTACAGTAAGCTCTACGAATAATTAACTTATTAATTTCGGCTTTTACTACTATAATGGGGGCTGGAATGCCAACGTTAGGAAGTAAAGTTGCCTTGCTTACCCTCAGTGGTAGGGCCTTATTTTAGTTTTTCTTTGGGGAGCAGTCACCTTCCCACAACTGTTTGCAGGCAGTGAAGGGTGATATAGATGTGGGATGTTCTGGGCTTAAGCACCCACATCATGCTCTCTCAGCTCATTCTAGCGAATAGAAGTTAAGACTGGTAGATGGGGTATCCCCATTGCAATGTGGTTTATACTTCGACAGTCACCTCCAAAATCGATCTTTTTAATTTAAGCAGCACTTTTGTATGGTGGTTAAGGCCTGTTTTGATAATTATATACACACACGCATACACACATATAACTATGGTTCGTGTTGGAACCATAGTACACTCCATACTTTTACAAAAAAGATTATATAATACAGAAATAAGATACATAAGATGACATTTTAAAATCTATGGGGCATACACACACACGGACAAAAATAACTTTGAACAAAAAATAATATTGCCTGTCCACTTTAGAAAGGGGTAGTCTAACACACTATGCATATGTAATAAGAAAACTAGACACTGAACCCTTTAACACAGAACACTTACTTCTTTAGAAGAGGGTTATCTAATATGCTACAGGGCTTTTAAAAACCATTGAACACAGAGATAATGATAACCCAGTACAATTATGCCAAAAAAAAATTATCACAGTACAAAATCAAACTTTCACAGTAGGAAATAAAATAAGCTCTGTACAAATGATCACATAAAACCTCAAGTACATTTTATACAAAGAAATGATAATAATATAATTAATACACCAATCATAATTATGAAACGACACCTCAAATAAGTAATTTGATACCGAATCAAAACAACAAAATTACTAATTTTGACCTGGTGCATCAATGTCAATGATATTAATTTTTTTCCACAAAACTTATAATTTCAGAGAACGAAGGGATGTTACACTCTTCAATTAAATCATTCATTACTTCATTTTGTATATGCTAAAATATGTTTACAAGTATTCGGGTCTGGTTTATTCTGTAATAATTGCTTTGACCAAATAAATTATTAAATTCCATATTGGATTGTTCCTCATGTATGAGCAAGTAAAAATACTATCAACAGTTGTTTCTTGCTCGTTACAATGGGTACATCTTTGATCATATAGTAACCGGCTTTTCCCCTCCTACGAACATTTCCATACAATTCTTTGATCTCTCTACTTTTATGATGTACCAAGTAATTTTCTCTTTCAACTGACTTTTTAATATCTTTATAAAAGTCACAGTATGTAAATAATCAATTCTAGTCCACAATACTTGGATTTCTTGTTCAAGCATTTTATGAAGAATCTCTTGTAATGCTCTCACGATTTCCTCAAATGGGGCTTCTTCCTTCATGAGTTGAATCACTTCACAACTTCCCACCTGGTTTAGTTGCTTGGTAAAGCAAGTGAGCCATGTAGGTTTATCAATACGGTCCATTAATTTCATCATATCTTTCAAGCAAATATTTTAGTATCTATCTTCCATCATTTTCAAAATTGTAATATTTAACATACTTGACACGTCTTCTGACTGCTTCATAATCTATATTTGTCTCTCCTGCTTCCATTGTCCACAAGTAATCAGGTGCATTTCTGTCTAAACTTAAAATGCTCTTCATATATTTTCTTTTGCATCTTCAAGTTCAACAATCCAGCTCCAAGCTTCCACTCCATACAACAGAATCAAACTTTTAAAAAGACATATCTTCTTATTACATTCGTTTCTCACTTTTCCTCATTAAACTCCATACCGTATTGATGATCTTTTGAGCCTTTCCACTTTGCTGCTTAATGTGTTCCATCTGAATAATTTTTGTAGAAAACCAAAACTCCCAACCACTTATATTTGTTAATCATTTCAATAGGCTGACCCTTGCATGTCCATTTATCTTCTTTACTAAGCTTCCCTCCTTTAAGAAATGTCATTCTTTTAGATTTTTCAGACTAATAATCAAATTATTTATTTCCACATATTTTTCGCAAGCCTTAACTACTTCTCTCATATCATTTCTATGGTTGGCCAGTGCAACAAATTCGTCCGCGAATTTAAGATCAGTTATTTTTTGTTATTTCTAATAACAGTTCCCCTAACATTCCTTATGATCCATTCATCTTCCCAATCATTGATAAAAATACTAAACACTGGGCTTAAACAGACATCCTTGTCTCCCTCCTTTTGAACTCAAAAATTCAGTGAAACGATAACGTTTCTTGTTTTCTTATAAATACTTTTAATCATTTTGTACATTCTTCCTCTAGTCCCCATTTTCCAGATCTTTTCATACAACTTCTCCCTATTTACCTTATCAAAAGCTGCTGTAAAGGCAATAAACCATGCGTATAATCTTCCTCCCATTCTTCTCAGCTAATTTTTAATTAATGTATGCAACACAAAAATGATGTCTCGTGTTGCATAATTTTTTCTGAATCCTGTCTGGTTTTCCTTAATTAGCCTTTCTTTTTCGAGCCAGTCCACGAGCTGTGTAGTCATGATGTTGGTCAATATCTTATATAGTGTGTAAAGTAACATGTATCTCATGATTCTTCTGTAATTCTTTGGGTTGCCTTTCTCGCCAGTCTTGTATATTGGGCAAATTAGTTCATCCTTTCAACTGTTTGGCAAGTCTTCTAGATCTCATTGAGTAGTTGCAAAAGATCTCTTCTCGTTATAAGTGCCTTAGAAAATTCATCGATTTCCATCTTTTCACCCAGTGACTTGCCATTTTTCAATTTCTTATTTGATTTAGTCAATTCTTTTTGTTTGAATTCAGCATCTAGTTCATTGTTTTCATATGGTAGCATTTCGTGTTAGAGTTCTGGCCACCAGTTGTTGCTACTCCCCTCTTCTAATAATTGCACAAAGTGTTCTCTCCATTGGTGTGTAGATATTGTAACCTCTTGATTCTTAGGTTGCTTTCTGAGGTTATTAACATGTTGGCAGAAGAGTTTACTGTCCTTACTCTTCTTGATTTCCTTCATCTTTTCTTTCTTCTGATTTTGCATTTCTCAATATCTCTTCCTGAGATTTCTTCTCACTATAATATACTGGGTCCTATCAACTGCATTTCTTTTCTTCATAAATGGTCTCAGTAATCTTCTCATCAGTATCTTCTCCTTCTTGTATTCATTATCCTCGTTGTTTTTCCGTTTAGTTCCTTTCTTATGTTTGATTATACTTTCCTTGGTGGTGTTCTTAAAAATTTCATTGAGGACCTGTCTCCTCCTTTCCTTGTCTCTCTCGTTTTTCCAATTTAGCTGTGAAGTCTCGTCTTTTAGTTGGGTTCCATTTATAGTACTCCTGAGTCGTAAGGACCTCTTCCTCCTCGTGTCCCATTTCATCTTTCAACCTCACTTCATTTGGTAGATGATCAGATTCACTTCTTTCAGAAATATATTCTCAAAACACAATTGTTTGTGTCATTATTTGTGATGACTGAGCCTCTTCCACTTCCGACATAGGTCAGCTTCTCTTCATATTTGTCTTTTACTTGTCCATTTAAAATTACGTATCCTTCATCATCGCACCAATCCATCAGTTTTTTCCCCCTCAGTATTGGAGATTTAATCTCAGAATTTTTTGCTAGGGTCCACCCTCTTCAAATTCTTTTATCTCCAAATTTATTTGTTGTTCATGTTCATTATCAGTTCTTGTGTTGAGGTCAACTGAATATGTTCGTCCTTCATATAATTATTATCAAAGTCCTCAGAAATTTGGTTTAAAGTTTCTTCCATCTAATGATTGTTATACAAACTAGTTATTCTTCATTTATCACACATGTGGGAACGTCTTATTTTACTTTTGCTCTTCCTCGAGTTGTTTTCTTTAACAACTTCCTTAAAATATCATTGATATCCACCATTTAGTTATTTCGCCCATGTTGATTCC